TTCATTAAATTCCCAACTATTGAGAATCCACAACGTAAAACACGAGACAATATTCCACTGTGTCCATAAGTCCATCCCTGGGACACGACAAAACGTTGTTTATAAATAAACGTGGCCTTAACAAAAATTCCAACAGTAGATGTCGTCTGTATCAGATAATCTGAGACGAAAGTGGTAAGTCAGAAACACGATAAAACAAAATCAAGTCCAATGTTTTTATCTAATTGACTTATTGACCTTGCAAAATAATATTCGATTTTCCGCATATGAACGTATTGATTATTAATAATGTTTGTGTAAGAATGACAAACAATGATTTGTGAAAAAATAAACGGTTTTTTGTTTTTTGTTTCATTTATCAGGAAATTGAAGTACGCAACGATTTTTATTCAACAAACATGGACAACAACAGAGCTAATCAATTGAATCCAAACAATAAACAATATTGGATGTCTCGAGGATTTTCCGAAAGACCAAATGCTTGGAATAGTGGTACCAATAATATAAGTAGCAGCAGCAACAACAACAGCAGTAGCAACAACAACAGTAGCAGCAACAACAACAGTAGCAGAAGCAACAACAACAGCAACATAAGTGACACATGCAGACCAATAGTTGTTAAAACAGTTGGCGCTGTACTCAGTTACTTTGGCATGGACGGTTGGGAGCAGACCGTAGGAGATGTGTACGATCTCGGCGTACAGTTATATGACTCAATGAGTTCTTAGTTTTTGACGAGAAAAAATAAACTATTATTATTGTATTATTTATATATAACAATTAAATCCATCTCTTCGTTTGTATATAATCGGGGGATTCCCCGAACCTAAAATTAGTAAAGAGAACGTAAGATCTCACTCTCACTAATATGTACAAGAAATCATGATAGAAATATACAAGATTATAAAAGCGAATATCTTTATTATGATATTTTGTAATTATGCACTTCTTCACTGATTATATTTTTGTTATGCACAATAATTTATAATGCAAATAAAATTTGTATATATTTCAACTGTCTTTATTTGTTTTTTTTTTTTATTAAAATCTAATAATTTCTTCAACTTAATCTATGTAATTTGGCCATAAATTGAATAACTCAAATTGCAAATACGTTGTGGTAGATTGGTTGTCTATAGTAATTAGAACACCAGAGCCATGGGTAAATTTCCATGGAAACGTGATATTAGATATTACCAGGCGAATACAATTAATTCAGATGTATCCATGGAAACAGTAAACTGAAATTCTAATAAAACAAAGTAGTTGTTAATATTAAAATTGTAAAGATAAATTCAAGTGGCAATGGATTTTTTTTTATATCTTTCAATAATAATAACTAAATATAATGTAGCATACTCGAATTTAATTTTAGCAATTGGTAACAGCGGTTTTCATCCACCCATTGTAAATAAAAACGGACCGAAATAGTATTTTTAGATTATACATAACATTGAGTTTGTGCCGACCGCTGCGATCGATTTGTCGTTTCGAGGTGGGT